GAAAGTCCAGTTACTTAACTTTTCTGACAGACCGTTGGAGTAAGTGTGTGAATATAATAATATCATATTTAAGTTCAACCTCGTTCCTAGGCTCTTACATCTTGTGGAGGAAAGACTCTGGTAGGAGCTGGTGACTTGATCTGCTAAAATCTAGCAGATTTTTAATTAACTAACTATTTTGGATTAAAATCAAATCAAACTTGCAAAACAAAATACAAGTTATAAATTAAAGTATAAATATCAAATATTTATCAACATCATCATCAATTAAAAATCTGCTAGATTTTAGCAGAGCACGTGACCAGCTCCTACCATGCAGGGTCTTCCTTCCACAAGAGGTAAGAGCCTGGGAACGAGATCTTGACCTAGAATTGAACTTGGTTTAAATTTATATGACTTTTTATTTTTCAGGTTCGATTTAATTTGGCCAGCTCACTGTATAGCTGTGACACCTCACACAGGAACAATTTCTCCGAAGTAAGTTACCTTACCGAAGCATATAGAACTAATGATAATGCAACTGTAGAATTATCTACGTGAGTGAATGACTCTTGTACATAATTCTAATGCCTATATAGTTACTTTATTCTATGCTCTTATACATAATTGTAATGCCTAGTTACCTTATTCTATGCTTTTATAAGCTAGAACAGTAGTAATTAGGCATGTGAGTTGTCCAGACTTCTGAATTAGGTAGCAAAGGTGTAAACAACGTCAGCCAAATTTGTCTATATCCAGCGTCTCTGGCACAAAACTCGAGCAAATATAAAACTTGCCATTTTCTAGGAGTCAAACGATAATCAACATTAGTGCTTGGGGCAGTATTTTGAAGTCTGGTGTTGATTTGTCTTGGTCAGGTACAGCCTATGTGAAATGTGATGGCGTTAAAAAGGTATTGACGTTTCCTTTCAATTAACTATAGTTAGGGAAAAAGTTAATCATTTAGAACTGATCGTGCGTTGTAGAGTCAATTTTGATATAAGGTAAAACTGGTAGTCATTGTTTATTCCATTCCCAGGCAATAGCAATCCAGATTCACAATCCACTGGTGAGCGAAAACTCTCCAGCTCCCAGCGTTATCGATAAACCGCTATCTATCGCGAAATCAAGTAAAGACGAACTACGTCTATCTCAAACGTATACTGCCTTTGTGAAACCTGTCAAGCAGACTCAGCTGTTGAAGGTGACACCAACTCTGATTGATTTTGATGAAGTAGAAGTAAGCAAGGCATCTTGTAAGTAGTTTTACCATTGTTACTTTGTGGATTACCTTTTATCAATTAACTAGTATAAATATAATTATTTTAGTATATATTTGACAGACCATACACAGCTCTTTCACGAAAGTTGGCATGTTTCTTGTGTTGAACGTACCTGAACAAAGTTCAGAAAAATTGGACGTTTGAAATCTTTCCAAAAAGGTGCATGTCCGCCAAAGGTTTATAGTATTTTGTATTTGTGTTGCTCTAGGTTCAACTGTTACAATTGAAAATATATCAACATCTTCACTAAGATGGAAGATCTCGTCATTTGCACCTGCTTACGCAAAGGTACTGTCCCCCTGTTCCCAGGGTTTCTTTGGATGAGGTAGTGTAATGGCTGGTTTGCGCTATCAAAGTTTCTCTGATCACATTTAGTATTTAATTTTGCATAAGTATATAAACTCTAAATTTTGAAGAATTTGTGAGAATGAAGAGAACAATTGCATTTACAAACACTGCAATCGACTCCAACATTCTTTAGTCCCGCAGTCCACTCACGTTTCATTCCAAGACATCAGACTTATACATAGTTGCATACTGTATACCGACTAAATTACGGCTTTGAATACCTTGTATTTTAATATGCTAATTTTTTCTGAATAAATTTTAGGTTTCTGACACAAGCTCAGAATTACTTCGTGCTACCTACCCCGTCTTCAGTTTCTCGACACAAAGTGGTTTCATACGAGCTAATCAAATCATAAAGGTTTGTTAGGATTTAATAGCGGAAATTCTACTCCTTCATATGCTGTGTGTGTTTTGTTGCCAACTTAAACTGCTGAATGCTAGCTAGCGTTCTCAGAGAACGGTAACCGCTAGGAATTTTCGAATCGACAGGGTCACAAACATTTCTTTCGAGTAGTTAGCCATGTACTGTAGGTTCATGTTTGAGATACAGGAAAACTAATACGCCCCTGTGGCCACTTTTCTATTGGAAAACTATTGGAAAACTAATACGCCCCTGTGGCCACTTTTCAACACTCCAGAAGCAGCGCATTCATTTTGTAGTCTCGCGGACTTTACGCATTTGATACGCCATGCTGGCTTAGCAATCTTGAAATTTTAAACGTCTACTACCGTAAACAGCTTGGAGTTTTTTTCTAGATTCAAGTCGAGTTTCGTGCCAGAGATGCAGGAGATTACTGCCAAATATGGGAATGCCAGGTGAGTTTACAAATATTCACATAAAAATGCCATTGTGTTATTTTATCCATCACGCTGTGCATCAGCTGGAGAGCAAAAAAGAAGCACCTGGGCACAGAATAAGAACATTACAGAAGATCGACTTCAGTATGTTTCTATTCTGTGGAAAGAGCCTGGGAACGAGGTTGCTGTGACCCTGGGTGTAACTTAAAAAATATTCTTTTTGCAGACAAATCCCGAGAGTCCCTTAACGTCAACAAAAGTCAAGCTTGAACTCTCAGGAAAGGTAATTTGCAGATTGACACGACTATATGCAAAACGGTTATATGAACACTTTCTTGTACACTATGCTATATTTTATTTGCGATATAATTTCCATTTCAGGCTGTGGTGAAGGAAACATCGTCTACCGTGGCAGAGAAAGATAAGGAGAATATTGATAAGAAAAGTGTTGCTATGGCAACTGCGAGGGAGTCATTGCCAGAGCTTCCCTCCAAGGAGACGTGAGTGCATTAATTGCCAATTTTAAAGCAATTTTTAAATAGAAAATTGTGTTTGGAAAATAACAAGTTACACAGGAATTGTTTGTTTGCTTATGGATAGACGACTTGAATAATTACATACATACAGCTATCGTGTGAAGGATGTACCGCTGAGAAATATAAGCAAAACTCAGTTCGTTGTTTCGAGCGAAGGCCCTTCGTTAGTAGCTGTTATCGTCTCTACCCACAATGGCCCCACCGTTCGAGATTGCTTGACTACATGTACATTCTTCTATTTCGTCTTTCCTTCTATAGCAATGAACCACAAAAAGGAAAAGGCGGGGTATATATCCAGTCGGATAATGTAGAATTTCCTGATACTGAAGTAGCACAAACCAGTACGGTGAAGATAAAGATTTGTAATAAGTCCTCGAGTGAACATCAGGTGTGTTTTTAATCTAGTACTTTGAATATCAATGTTTTGAAAGTGTATAGGCATTCGTGAAATTGGTGCGTGCATGATTATTTTTCGTTTTCTTGTATAGTTTCGGATAATCACTCCTTCAGCGCCATTTTATATGAAATGTACTAGCCTTGTTACAAAGTGAGTACGCGTATCGTATTTCCTCTTTTTAAGCCCCCCCCCCCCCCC